GTATTTAAAAAACTGGTCTAGCCGGGCGCGGTGGCTCAAGCCTGTAAACCCAGCACTTTGGGAGGCCGAGGCGGGTGGATCACAAGGTCAAGAGATCGAGACCTGGCCGGGTGCGGTGGCTCACGCCTGTAATCCCAACACTTTGGGAGGCCGAGGCAGGTGGATCACGAGGTCAAGAGAGCGAGACCATCCTGGTCAATAAGGTGAAACCCCGTCTCTACTAAAAGTACAAAAAATTAGCTGGGCATGGTGGCGTGTGCCTGTAATCCCAGCTACTCAGGAGGCTGAGGCAGGAGAATTGCCTGAACCCAGGAGGCGGAGGTTGCGGTGAGCCGAGATTGTGCCATTGCACTCCAGCCTGGGTAACAAGAGCGAAACTCCGTCTCAAAAAAAAAAAAAAAAAAAAAAAAAAAAAAGAGAGATCGAGACCATCCTGGTCAACATGGTGAAACCCTGTCTCTACTAAAAATACAAAAAATTAGCTGGGCATGGTGGCGTGTGCCTGTAATCCCAGCTACTCAGGAGGCTGAGGCAGGAGAATTGCCTGAACCCAGGAGGCAGAGGTTGCGGTGAGCCGAGATCGCGCCATTGCACTCCAGCCTGGGTAACAAGAGTGAAACTCCACCTCAAAAAAAAAAAAAAAAAAAACTGGTCTATAGCTCACATCACTTCCTGTTCTTTCCAACTAGCACAAGCCAGGTACTTATATCCATAATCTAATTCAATCCTGTACAACCTAGAAGGTAGACATTATTTTCCTGTTTTATAGATGAAGAAAATGTCATATTAAATAATTTGCTCAACATACTACAGCTGGTAAGTGGAACCCACGTTTGATTCCAGTTTATATTCTTTCCAACTTACCATACTGCCTAACAAAGAAAGCATTAGTAGCAGGTTCTCTTGACACTGATGTGAATGCCTTTTTCCTAAATTTAACACAAGACTCTATGCTTTTTTCTTTAAGACGGAGGTTCGCTCTTGTTGCCCAGGCTAGAGTGCAATAGTGCGATTTCAGCTCACCCCAACCTCTGCCTCCTGTTCAAGTGATTCTCCTGCCTCAGCCTCCCAAGTAGCTGGGATTATAAGTATGTGCTACCACGCCTGGCTAATTTTGTATTTTTAGTAGAGATGGGGTTTCTTCATGTTGGTCAGGCTGGTCTTGAACTCCTGACCTCAGGTGATCCGCCTGCCTCAGCCTCCCAAAGTGCTAGGATTACAGGCGTGAGCCACCGCACCCTGCCGAGTCTATGCTTTCAAAATATGCACTTGCTTTACATTTTTCCTGTTTAAAATTTGTTGGGGTTTTTTTGTCTGTTTTTTTGGATCCCTGTTGGGGAATCAAATCCCAGCCTCCCACGTGATCTGTTTAAAATTAACTTATTAAAACCTTTATTTTAAGGCTAGATGTGGTGGCTCACATCTATAATCCAGACACTTTGGGAGGCCCATGGGAGTGACCACTTGACACCAGGTGTTCAAAAACAGCCTGGCCAACATGGTGAAACCCCGTCTCTACTAAAAATACAATTAGCTGGGTGTGGTGGTACATGCCTGTAGTCCCAGCTACTGAGGCACAAGAATGGCTTGAACCTCGGAGGCAGAGGTTGCAGTAAGCCAAGATTGCACCACTGCACTCCAGCCTGAGTGACAGAGCAAGATTCTGTCTCACAAACAAACAAAAAAAAAAAAAAAAAAAAAAAGGCCGGGCACATGCCTGTAATCCCAGCACTTTGGGAGGCTGAGGCGGGCAGATCACGAGGTTAGGAGATTGAGACCATCCTGGCCAACATGGTGAAACCTCATCTTTACCAAAAATACAAAAAAATTAGCTGGGCGTGGTGGCACACACCTGGAGTCCCAGTTACTCGGGAGGCAGAGGCAGGAGACTGCTTAAACCCAGGAGGCTGAGATTGCAATGAGCCGAGATTGCGCCACTACACCACAGCCTGGGTGACACTGCAAGACTCTGTTTTTAAAATTTAGGCTGGCCGCGGTGGCTCACGCTTGTAAGCCTAGCACTTTGGGAGGCTGAGGGGGATGGATCACCTGAGGTCAGGAGTTCAAGACCAGCCTGGCCATCATGGTGAAACCCCATCTTAAAGAAATAATAATAAAAGAAAAAAAGAAAAAAAATTATTTAAATCCTGAGAGTTTTCTAGTAAGATTTATTTTAATCTGGTCTTCAAAAATAATAGTTAAAGCTGAGCATGGTGGTGGCTCACACGTGTAATCCCAGGACTCTGGGAAGCCGAGGCAGGCAGATCACTTGAGCCCAGGAGTTTAAGAACAGCCTGGGTAATGTACCGAAACTCTGTCTCTTACCAAAAATAGAAAAAATTAGCATGGTGGGGCAGGCCTATAGTCCCAGCTACCCAAAAGGCTGAGGTAGGAGGATCACCTGAGCCTGGTGGGAGGTCCAGGCTGCAGTCAACTGTTACCATGCCACTGCATTCCAGCCTGGGCGACACAGATCGTCTCAAAAATAAGGATAGTATTTAAAATCTGCCTTATTATATGGGTTGTTGCTTTTATTAGAGCTATGCTTTTAGCCATCCGAAAGCTTTGTACTTTTCTTCCTGGTCCTTAATACACAAATAGTAACTCTCCTTAGCAATATCATTCTTTTGTCAATAACTGTTGGACTAAAGTGGATCCCTAGAGTTCAGTATCATTCTTTTATCAGTACTTGTTGGACTGCAATGTGTCCCCAGAGAGTTTTCCTTTTTGAATGCATATCCTTTCTGGTCCCATACTATAAACTAGCCCGCCTCTCCAATTTGTCTTGGCATTTTTAATTTTTCTTGTCATCAGAGTACATACAACTCACTAAAAATATTAAAAACTCCACATGTAGTAGACATACTGTCCTACAGGCACAAAGTAGTGAAAAAGAGCATGGGCTTTGGAGGAAAATCTGGGTCCCAAGCCTCTCACTGATCCCGCAAAGATCACTTAACTTTTCTGAGCCTCAATTTCCTCAGATATAAAATAGAAGCAATATCGTCTGCTCACAGTATTATGGTAAGGATTAAATGAGATGTATATATCTCATTTATATAGAGAGTACCCAATAACAAAGTGGCTGCTCAACAAATATTAAATAGCTGTGACGCCGGGCGCGGTGGCTCAAGCCTGTAATCCCAGCACTTTGGGAGGCCGAGGCGGGTGGATCATGAGGTCAAGAGATCGAGACCATCCTGGTCAACATGGTGAAAACCCGTCTCTACTAAAAAAAAAAAAATACAAAAATTAGCTGGGCATGGTGGCGCATGCCTATAATCCCAGCTACTCAGGAGGCTGAGGCAGAAGAATTGCCTGAACCCAGGAGGCAGAGATTGCGGTGAGCCGAGATAGCGCCATTGCACTCCAGCCTGGGTAACAAAAGTGAAACTCTGTCTCCAAAAAAAAAAAAAAAAAAAAAAAATAGCTGTGACAGTGGAAAACATTCTGTGCAAAATCACTGTAGTCCTCCATAACACCAAGTTAAAAAAGCAGAGTATGTGCCAAATACTGCCAATCTATTGACCTACTTAATATCAACTAGAATTTTAACAAGCATGTTTCTGATGCCATCATCTAACAGGGCACCAGCCATACTCACCCATGTGAAAAGCAACCCAGTCCCCTTTCTGGGTCTTAATCTCCCACACTTATTAACAGGTAACTTCCCTATGGATAGTGACCCAGAAGCAAACTGTTCATTCATCATCAATAAAATATGTTCCTTTTTTTTTTTTTTTTTTTTTTTGAGACGGAGTTTCGCTCTTGTTACCCAGGCTGGAGTGCAATGGCGCGGTCTCAGCTCACCGCAACCTCCGCCTCCTGGGTTCAGGCAATTCTCCTGCCTCAGCCTCCTGAGCAGCTGGGACTACAGGCACGTGCCACCACCATGCCCAGCTAATTTTTTGTATTTTTAGTAGAGACGGGGTTTCATCATGTTGACCAGGATGATCTCGATCTCTTGACCTCGTGATCCACCTGCCACAGCCTCCCAAAGTGCTGGGATTACAGGCTTGAGCCACCGCACCTGGCTGAAATATGTTCCTTTTTAAATGTGGTAATGAAAATTACGTATTACCAACTTCTTTACTCAGTTATTTGTACTCTGTGTATTTACTGCTACGTAGTGGAAGTACTTAAGCAAAGCACCAATGTTCTGATGTCTGTTGAGAAATACAATCTGGAGCTCCTGCCATGGGAAAATTATGTGAAGTGGAAAGTAGGACTGAATTATAAAAATCTTACAACCCCAAACAGTAAGTTAAATTAATAAATGTATAAACAACCCAGTTATGCAGGAGGCTACAAATTTTTTTGTGAAAAATCAGACCTTGGTGATGACCTTGAGCAGTAGGATATAAATAACTCCTGCAAGCTTAGTGTTCCAATAATGGAACAGTAGGCATAAATGGGTTAAATTTCAGGTGGAGTTTGCTGAATCCACAAATATGAAAATGACTTTCCAAGAATTGTAAAAGTAATTGCTAAGGAGATGCTGCTAACTTGATCACAAAAGCAAGATGAGGGCTGGGTGTGGTGGCTCACGCCTGTAATCCCAGCACTTTGGGAGGCTGAAGTAGATCACAAGGTCAGGAGTTCGAGACCAGCCTGGCCAATACGATGAAACCCATCTCTACTAAAAATACAAAAATTAGCCAGGCATGGTGGCACTCGCCTGTAGTCCTAGCTACTCAGGAGGCTGAGAAAGAAGAATTGCTTGAACCCAGGAGGTGGAGGTTGCAGTGAGCTAAGATCGTGTCACTGCACTACAGCCTAGTCAACAGAGCAAGACTTTGTCTCAAATAAAAAGCAAGATGAGTAGAAGAGGAGAGTTTCATGCATGCATGTGTGTGTCTCTTGTATGTATAAGTGTGCATGTGTATTGAGTGTATGTGCAGACATGAGAGGAAATGGGATAAAGTTCAGTCTATAGCATAAAATGCTATTAGACTGCATTAAACTGCTACAAAGTTTCTTTACTCCAAAAAGTAGACAGGTTAACTGTTGGAAACTCTGTAATTATTAGATAAAATTAACAGTACTTACAATCATATATATATGTCACTTTTCAGTTTACAAAGTTATTTAGTAGACATTCATTTGGATGCTCTGAAATAAATTTAACTTCTTTGCCCTTCCTTCTCCCCTCCACCAAGGACGAAGTAGGGAACACTTAATCAGGAAAGGCAACATAAGTGCATCAATCTGTACAGAACCACAAAGAACAAAGGGGAGGAAGGTATGACCTTGAAGAGTTCCACAGAGACTTCAAGGAAGGAGGGAACCAGAATGTCAAACATGAGGAAAGCCCAGAGTTCACTGGAGAGTTAGGCACCATACAGGGCAGATTGTATCTGCTACACAGAAGATGGGGCACACAGCGTAAGTTTCACATTCTAAAATCCTATGAAAAAAACCGTAACTGAAGAGCTGAAGTTGGACTTTCTGGTTTTTCAGAACACAAGCAGATCATGACCACCAACCATGGTTTCTGAATGAACTGGATTCAAAATGCATCTGGTTGCAACAAAGGGCTTCCTTGGACCCTAATATTAGAAATTCAGCAGAGGTAATTTGAGGAGCTGTGATTTTACGTAGTGGTGGCATCCTGGGGAGCTTCTATTCCATCAGTCAAGTTTAGTATCTCACAATCGTGGAAAAGGAGTTCCGAGCAGGGATGAGCAATATCGATGGGAAGCCGATACTTGGGCCATCTCTTGGAGATTCCTGCCGTAAGGACTGCAAGTGTTTCTCCAGAGAAAGCACTTGCCTGGGTATGACTCAGGGCCGGACAGGAATTCACACTATGAATCCGGGTGGTGGGAAGGCGGAGAAGTATGCCTACAAAGATCAAAGAGCCAGGAATGGAAAACACACTAAAAACCATCCCAGTGGGCAGGCTACCTCCCCAGAGATAAGAAGACCTTGAATCCTGAGCATAATCAGGGAGACAAAGCAATGCCCTGGATGCCACCAGCACAGACAAAGTCAAAGGAAAATGTGTGATCCAGTATTTACACACACAAAAAGAGAAGTGCAGAAGCAAGCAAGAAACTAAAGAAAAAGGAGGATGGGCGTGGTAGCTCATGCCTGTAATCCCAGCATTTTGGGAGGCCGAGGAGGGTGGATCATTTGAGGTCAGGAGTTTGAGACTAGCCTGACCAACATGGTAAACCCTGTCTTTACTAAAAATACAAAATCAGCCAGGTGTGGTGGCATGCACTTGTAATCCCAGCTACTAGGGAGACTGAGGCAGGAGAATTACTTGAATCTGGGAGGCAGAGGTTGCAGTGAGCTGAGATCACACCACTGCACTTCAGCCTGAGAAACAAAACCGAAACTCCTTCTAAAAATAAAACTATAAACTAAACTGAACTAAACTAAACTAAGCTGAAACTAAATTAAATAAAATACAAAAAAAAAAAACCACTAAAGTGAAAGAACAATGCTCACACCAAGGGAGCTGCCGACAAACCCCACTGATGCTTCCCAGCAGAACTACAGCTTGCCTAATCCCAGCTTCCTACTGTACCTTTCAAAATGACAAGGGAGAGACATGAGTTAAAGCATCGAAGCCACCTCAGTATGGGGTAAAGGTCTGAGACTTCTGCTGCCCTGGGTGCGGTTACATGGGATTATCATCTGGGTGACTCACTGAAATGTACTCACAGTGAGTCATGCCTTCAAATGACGTCTCAAGTTCTGCCTGCCCGGATACACATCTGGGGATCTTAAGGGGTGAGGGACCACTCAACAAGAAGAAATTTAGCCTATCTTTTTAAACAGCATTTCTTTTTTCTGGCAAAATGGGAAATTCTCCAATACAGGGACACAGTGATACTAAAAAGGAAAGCGTCCAGTTGGTGGTTGGGAGGCCGCCCTAGGATCTCTCCTCCAAAAAATGGAAAAGATAAGAAGGATGAGAACTCAGGCAAAGCACAAGAAAGTTTCCCTTTGCTAAAAGGGAACAGATGCCCACAATAGCCAGAAACATGAACTAGGAATAAGGAGGAGAATGCCTCCTCTTGGCACCCCCAAACGAACCTTAATTACCCCTCCCAGAGAAGATGACATGAAAGATAAGGATACAGAGGTTCTAAGACCTAGAATCTAAGCCACACTCTACAGACCTTCTCAAGAGACCTTATACTTATGCAGAAACAAGAAAGTAAAGAAATCTAAATAGATAAACTGAATAATAAGGAAGTCCTTACCCAGTGAGACCACGTTCCCATAATTCTCTAACATCACTTCTCTGTAGAGGTCCCTCTGAACAGGGTCCAGGTATCCCCATTCCTCTCGAGTAAGGTGCACAGCCACATCCTCGAATGTCACAAACTCCTGAAATAACACATCCTGGCTGCTCTGGGGAATGAGACCACTGTAGCACCATGGCCAGAGAGTGAAGATGATAGCGAGGGTATCCAGTGTGTACTTACATTGAGGAGGAGGAAGAACAGATTAGAACCTATGGAATAAAGCCCATACCCTTAAACATCTAATAAGCACCCGTCACACAACCATAGACAAAGAGAAAACAGAGTTTGCTCCTGGCATTGGGGAGATGGAAGGTGGTTTATGTGAAGTCCAGGTCTCCGAAGAGGATCAGTTCCCATCTGCTATTGAAAAAAATTCCAGGCAAGGTCTACAGATGGAATGAGCGAGAGGCCACACTCCATCAGTAGCAATAATCCCTGATTTCCTCAAGGAAAAGCAGAGGGTTCCTCAGCTCACCTGGTACCTGGCTGTCAAGAGCGCAGCTGCTTGGTCTCCTGGGCTTCCCTCATGGGGAAGAGCAGGCACCTGGGGAACAGGTGGAGCTGAGGGAGGAGAAAGGAGTGAAGAGTGAGAGCAGCCCTTTCCCAAGGCTCCCTTTCAGAAGAGACCTCTCCAGCCCAAGGGGTGTTAGCAGGACCCTCCTCAATACTCTAGTAAAACCAATGAACATTTATCAGGTATTGGGTGTGTCTTCTCTGCTCTTAGTACTTGCATGCCTTATGCGTGTTTAGACCTGTGATACAGGATCTTCTTATGAAAGCTTCTATTTCACTTTATCTTCACCACATGACAGTCCTCTTATAGAAGAGTAAGACTATACCTGTTTTGCGGATGGGCAAAGCATAAACTTGTGGGGACTTGTCCTGGGCGAGGGTTATTTAGCAGACTTCTGACCATTTCCACGCACTGTCCTATACACTTGATAAGCCTTTCCCTTGTGAATGGGCACTGTCTTAACCAGTGTGTGAGACCCCCAAGAATAAGAAAGGTCATCTGTTTCCTCGTAATCTTTTCCAGAGTTCCACAATGCCTCACAGCCCTCTACATACTATGGCACTCGATCTGTGTAAGTGACACACAAGTTATTTGGCCACAGGCAATCTAGGACACAGCTCTTACAAAACAAAAAAAGACCAACCTACCTACATGATACAGAAAAGTGTGACTGTGTAGTCAAAATATGTATACATCCACACAGGCACTGTGCTCAACCAAGGAATTAAACAGTTGCTTCCTTGACCAAATTTAGACTAGTCAGGAAACAGTGCAGTTGCAACAGAATGGCAGGTGACAAAGCAAAGAGAAACTAAGTGAAGGGAACAGGGGGAAGGAAAGGTCCTGAATCTAAGAGGAAGTGAGAGCCAGGAAAGGACTGTGAGATGTGGCAAAAGAAACTATTCTGGATGTGAGAACTGGGATGAAGTGAAGGGTGCCTGAAGGAAAAACCAGCACACAAGTAAGGAGCCATCACTCTGCTTACTTAAGAAAGATGAGCTGTCCTTAACAGAGGGGCTCAGACTAGGACTGAACTGAGTCAAAGCTGCCCCCACTTTCATCCCTCCCTCTAGGGGCCACGTTCTCATTCCAGTTCCTGGCCTCTCTCACACCAGGCCCAGGAGCCCCTGAGGAGCCCCTCCACACACACTCATTGCCTAGATAGAAGGGCTGTCTCTGCCTTACCCCCAGTGAGTCCCTGTTCCATGTCGGTGTCCTGCACAAACTGAGGCTCTGGGGACAGACCCTCAGACTGGGTCTCCAAAGACTGAAACTGGACCCTTGGTGATCCTGCTGCTTCCTGGGCTGGTATTTCCTCCATCACTGCTCTGGAGGACAATGACCATCACTGCAAGGTGAGATTAAGAGAAATCACTGTTATAAGTTAAAACATCCTACCATTTTATATCCTCAGGACTTTGCAAAGTATTTTACACATGGTAGATATTCAATAAAAATTAGTTGATAATGATTAACCATCCTAAATAAGTAATAGAGAGAAAAATGGGGCCAGGCACAGTGGCTCACACCTGTAATCCCAGCACTTAGGGAGGCGGAGATGGGTGGATCACTTGAGGTCAGGAGTTAAAGACCAGCCTGACCAACATGGTGAAATCCCGTCTCTACTAAAAATACAAAAATTAGCTGGGTGTGATGGTACAGGTCTGTAATCTCAGCTATTCGGGAGGCTGAGGCAGGAGAATTGCTTGAACACAGTAAGTATATGTTGCAGTGAGCCGAGATCGCACCACTGCACTCCAGCCTGAACAACATAGCGAGACTCTGTCTCAAAAAAAAAAAGAAATGGGCCGGACACGGTGGCTCAAGCCTGTAATCCCAGCACTTTGGGAGGCCGAGGCGGGTGGATCATGAGGTCGAGAGATCGAGACCATCCTGGTCAACATGGTGAAACCCCGTCTCTACTAAAAAAAAATAGAAAAAATTAGCTGGGCATGGTGGTGCGTGCCTGTAATCCCAACTACTCAGGAGGCTGAGGCAGGAGAATTGCCTGAACCCAGGAGGCGGAGGTTGCGGTGAGCCGAGATCGCGCCATTGCACTCCAGCCTGGGTAACAAGAGCGAAACTCTGTCTCAAAAAAAAGAAAAGAAAAAAGAAGGCCGGGCGCCGGTGGCTCAAGCCTGTAATCCCAGCACTTTGGGAGGCCGAGGCGGGTGGATCACGAGGTCGAGAGATCGAGACCATCCTGGTCAACATGGTGAAACCCCGTCTCTACTAAAAATACAAAAAATTAGCTGGGCATGGTGGCGCATGCCTGTAGTCCCAGCTACTCAGGAGGCTGAGGCAGGAGAATTGCTTGAACCCAGGAGGCGGAGGTTGCGGTGAGCCGAGATCGTGCCATTGCACTCCAGCCTGGGTAACAAGAGCGACACTCTGTCTCAAAAAAAAAAAAAAGAAAAAAGAAAAAAATGGTTATGCTTCAGCTTTAAATACTTAAGAACCAAATCTTATGATCCAAGTGTGCAGGTTATTTGAACTCCTCTAATTTGGAATTCGTGGCATTTAAAAAAATCAACATAGTACACTTTAATAGCGCAAAGCTTTCTCTGGAAAGTTTAAACTATTTATAAAACTGGTAGGGTGCAGTGGCTCAAGCATGTAATCCCAACACTTTGGGACGCTGAGACGGGCAGATCCCTTAGGCTCAGGAGTTTCAGATCACCCTGGACAACATGGTGAAACCCCGTTTCCATCAATAAATAAATAAATAAATAAAATTAGCCAAGCGTGGTGGTCCATGACTGTAGTTCCAGTTACTCCAGAGGCCAAGGCAGGAGAATCGCTTCAGCCTGGGAGGTAGAGGCTGCAGTGGGCTATGACTGCACCTCTGTACTCCAGCCTGTATGACGATAACAGCCTGTCTCAAATAAACAAAATATTTAAAATTTACAAACTTCTTTGGAGACTGAAGTTTGTCCCCCGAGAAAAATGCAAGTTATGATTACTCATTTTAATTTTTAGTAGAGATGGGAGTCTCGCTATGTTGCCCAGGCTGGACTCGAACTCCTTGCCTCCAGGGATCCTCCTGCCTTGGCCTCCCCAAGTGCGAGGATTACAGGCGTGAACTACCAAGCCCGGCCCGTGATTATCCGTTTAAATAAATAAATTCATTTAAATAAGTAAACAAAACGGCAGGCCCCTTAGGGATGTCTTGTTAACACCGTCAGCCCACTCTGATTTATTAAACGGGCTTGGCGAATGATAAAATTCCACTTTTGGGGTCAGGCCCTTCGATAACTAGGACTGGCTGGGCCGGCCTTTTCCCGCAATCCTGAGAGCAACGCAGGGAAGAGCTGCGGCTCCAACAGGTTTGAGCGGCGTCCTTCAGGCCCAAGGACGAACCAGGGTACCGTCCCCCTCCCACCACCCTCGCCTCGCTCCCAGCTCGGTCCTCATTAGGCCTCGCCCGGCGCTGGCCTCCTCCCACTTCCCTTTTAGGCCAAAGCACAGTCCCAAAAGGGCCAGGGGGGCCATACAGACCAGCTCGCACCAAGGCACGGTAGCCGGCTCCCGACTGCGGGGCCCTCAGCCCGCGAGGTGAACCGGAGCTGAAAAGAAACAGGCCCTCCTCGCATTCGGGCCTCCGCGCACTCTCGGGGAAGGAAACCGCTGTCTGTCCCTGCCGGACGCCGCCTCTTTCTCCCGGGAAGGCGAAGCAAGCGGCCGCCCTGCTGCGACCCCAGAACGGCTTCCGGATACTCACCGAGGGGAGGGGCGGGCCTGGCCGCCGTCCTGTCACCGACACACTCGCGCTCGGGGACACCACAGCCTTTCCCGGGTCGCTCTAGACAGCTAGGAGGCCGGCGCTTCTTGGTGGCACTTCCGGCGACGGAGTGCAGGGACCCAAATGAAGGCCCGCCCCGTGCATGAGGGCCCCGGATGAGGGTCCCGGATGTTGGTGAGGGCCCCGGATGAGGGTCCCGGATGTTGGTGAGGGCCCCGGATGAGGGTCCCGGATGTTGATGAGGGCCACGGGTGAGGAACTGGACCTGCAGATCCAGGCTTCGCAGGCTCGTTTTCCGACCTTTGCACGTCTTTTTCCGGTCCTACGGCCCTCCGTGCTAATTCACTGGGCGTCTCTAGTCGTTAAAACAGCAATGGCTGGGGCTGGGCGCGGTGGCTCAAGCCTGTAATCCCAGCACTTTGGGAGGCCGAGGCGGGTGGATCACGAGGTCAAGAGATCGAGACCATCCTGGTCAACATGGTGAAACCCCGTCTCTACTAAAAATACAAAAAAATTAGCTGGGCATGGTGGCGCGTGCCTGTAATCCCAGCTACTCAGGAGACTGAGGCAGGAGAATTGCCTGAACCCAGGAGGCGGAGGTTGCGGTGAGCCGAGATCACGCCATTGCACTCCAGCCTGGGCAACAAGAGCGAAACTCGGTCTCAAAAAAAAAAAAAAAAAAAAAAACAGCAATGACTGCGACCAATGTTGGGAACGCGCCCCCGGGGCCTCTCCCTGATTCCCGCTGACCCTTAAGACTCCCCGCAAGGAGGCGGCCCGACCCAGTGGGTGCGTGTCGGAGGCGTGGAAGAATGGGCGAGCTAATGGTCCCGCTTCCGTGAGTAGCACGGGGGTGCCTGCGCAGAGTGTAGTACAGCTCTGACTCGTAGAAGGCGAGGATTGCGGGCGCCTCGGTGCGATGGGACCCACTAAGTCGTGGGATTGAAATATACTAAGTAGGTCTTGGGGCAAGCGGAGGTGGGAGGGGGCATGAGCAGATTGGAATGGGACCGAAAGAAACTGAGGAGATTGACAGTGGCGTCCCTGGTGGGAAGACTAAAAACTGCAGAAACAGGGACAGGCAAAAGCATGGTGCACGGGCGGGACAGGCGGAGCACCGGGACCGAAACCCTTGGGACATTGTGACCCCTGGCTGATCCTAGATCCTTGGAGAATATAATGCCATGTGGGTGGAGCTAGATCTGCAAGGCATAGGCAAGCCTCTTAGAGGATCAAAAAAGTGATTTGGAAGGAACGTCAACTATTACTACTTTGTTTAAGCAAATCAAAGGCTATCCTTTAATGTTATTTGACATTTCAAATTAAACACAAGAAAACCTGAAGTGTGACATTTATATATTTTTTTCAAACTATATCAGCTTCTTGGAGATTCTGATATTCCTTCCCTGCCTTCTCCCCTGAATATCATTGATTTAACCTAAATTCATACTACGACACAATCTGTCAAGTCTACAGTACCTGTCACAGTGGAGTCAGGATCAGAGAAAGAAAATGCACTCCTTAGTCCATTTTCGTGCTGGACAGCTCCAATTAGAGAAACTTTTTCTGGTGTTGAATAGAAATACACCCTGTGGTGATGTCTGTTGTTCCTATTGAAAGTTCCCGGGAACAATAGATAACAAAGTACTTTCTCCTCTTCATGACGGTTATTTTAATATACTAGGAGAGCTAAAGATTTGGAGTTCTTTCCCGAGTTGCCGTTTCTCCACCTCAAAGCCCTTCACAGATTGTACCTATTAGCAAAGTGATGGGAAACCATTTCAGCAGCAGAGATGAGTGAGCTATGGCAGTGAGGCACATTGTTTCCAAGTTTTAGCTGCCTCAGGCAATTGGCTCCAGTGAGAGGACCAAAAAAGGCACCCACTTAGAGGCCACTTTCCACCAATACTCCTTGAACCCTAATAAAGAGTGCTAAGAAGCAGCAGCTGCTGTTCTGCTTTTGAGAAAATTTTTCTTTCAACAGTTTACCAGAGACACGGATGGAAACAACTCATAAAAGTTGTTGTTTTGTTTTTTGTTTTTGGTTTTTTTTTTTGTTTTTGTTTTTTTTTTTGGTTGAGTCGGAGTCGCTCTGTCGCCCAGGCTGGAGTGCAGTGCTCAATCTCAGCTCACTGCAACCTCCACCTACTGGGTTCAAGTGATTACCCTGCCTTAGCCTCTGGAGTAGCTGGGATTACAGGCGGGCACCACCACACCTGGCTAATTTTTGTATTTTTAGTAAAGACCGAGTTTCACCATGTTGGCCAGGCTGGTCTCCAACTCTTGACCTCAGGTGATCCACCCACCTCCACCTTTCAAAGTGCTGGGATTACAGGGGTGAGCCACCATGCCTGGCCTATTTTGGTTTTTTAGTACAAATTAACAAACTGATTCTAAAGTTTATATAGAAATACTAGGGATTTAGAATTGCCAAAACAATTTTGAAAAAATAAAATTGGAATACTTGTATAATTTTAAGATTTTTTTCTTTTTTTATTGGTTTTAAGGAGTGGAGAGATTAATTGGCAAGCAAGAAAAGAGAACGCAGAAGGAAGAGGCTCCCCCGTACAGGCAGACGGAGGGGGGCTCCAAAGTGGATTATTGAGAAGACTCATGGGGAAGTAGAAAAAGGCAACCACAGCCAGATCAAACCCCATAGGTTGAGAACTTCTATCCCTGTAAAAAACAACAACCATAAGCTATGGAACATTAGTCAGGGCCTAGAAGGTAATTCGGGATACCATGCAATCATAGGCTGTAACACGTAGTTGTTCCTTTCGTGGGCTTTTCTCTTGTTGCGCTGTACCACAGACTTGCCCAGACTTAGAGTCACAGCCATTCAAGGTCTCAGTTACTGTTTTATAAAAGGTGAAGTTGTCCGAGCGCGACGCCTGTAATCTCAGCACTTTGGGAGGCTGAGGCAGGCAGATCACAAGTTCAGGCATTCAAGACCAGCCTGGCCAACATGGTGAAACCCCGTCTCTACTAAAAATATAAAAATTAGCCGGGCGTAGTGGCATGCGCCTGTACTCTCAGGTACTCAGGAGGCTGAGGCAGGAGAATCGCTTGAACCTGGGAGGCAGTGGTTGCAGTGACCCAAGATCGCGCCACTGAACCCCAGCCTGGGTGACAGAGCAAGACTCCGTCTCAAAAAAAAAAAAAAAAAAAAAAAAAAAAAAGGTGAAGTTATTCCTATCTAATCATAGAAGCCCTAATTATTCTGATAACACTTGGACAGCAAAAACGCCTCAAATTCAACTTATGGTTTCACCATTGCTAATCTGAAAACTCCCAGGAAACATAAGACAAGTTCAGAATTTTATAACTATCTAGTGTTTTGCCCATTCAACTGGCAATACGTACATAATCAGCATCTCAAAAGAGACAGCCTCTTCGTTTTGTGAAAACATTTATTCTTGATCTTTCTGTCTCCACCCTTGTTTCATTCATCTCCTCTGCCACAGACACACAATCACTATTTTTATTGTTTGATAATAATTACAATTATTACAATTATTGCCATCATTAAGAAAAATAGAAGGAACATGTAAGTATCTGAGCAGGGCAGTATAAAGGAAAATTCATCCCCTTTTCCCCGCCCCGTGTACCTCCTCGGAGCGGACAAGCTGAGGAGCAAGATCCCCAAACCCGAGATTAGAACCCTACACAGGGATGCAAAGTCCTCCCGCGATCCTAGAGAGGACCCCGAAGCTGAGCGCAACCCCGGAAAGCGGGTGTGACGCACTTCCGGGTTTTGGGACGCTTTCCCTGGGCTTTGATGTCCAGAGGGTCTGGGTGTGAGTTCAGTGCTTCTGATCCCCGAAGTCACAACCCCTTCTATCCCAGGACCCCAGACTTCTCCGGGCGGGGACAGAGTTGGACGTGCACTGCTGTGTCCTGCAATCCCCTCGCCACAACCGCCCCGGACGAAGTGAAAGCGGGTCGCGCCAGCCTCGGCGGTGGCAAGCGCTGTCTTCCAGCAGAGGCGTGCTGGGTACAGGTGGGAAGGGAACAAAGTTTTGGTTTCCGGACAGGAATGAGACAGTCCTGGGACTGAGGAGAGGCGGTCTGCGTGTTCCTTCTGGTTTCTGAGTCCTGGGTTTTCACCCCAAAGACGTGCGGACAAAATGATCCCCAGTCAGATTATCTGTGCTCCCCAGTTGTCCCCACTGGTTTTCCTTCTGGTGAGGGCTTTTCTGGTTTCCTAGGAACCCCGAGTTGTAAAATTCGGGCAGTCTTACACGGTACTAAGTGTCATTGGCCTTACAGTTTTTTTTTTTTTAATTAGGATAGGCTTGTTAAGCCCGTGTCCTCAGATAATGTTCACCCTCAAACCCACCACCATTATGGTAGCGATTAGTGTGAAGGCCGGGCAGGTGGCTCACGCCTGTAATCCCAGCACTTTGGGAAGCCTAGGCGGGCAGATCACTTGAAGTCAGGAGTTCCAAGATCAGCTTGGACAGCATAGTGAAACCCTGTCTCTACTAGAAATACGGAAATTAGGTATGGTGGCACACGCCTGTAATATTAGTTGGGAGACTGAGGCACGAGAATCACTTAAACCCGGGAGGTGGAGGTTGCAGTGAGCGGAGATTGCGACACTGCACTCCAGCCTGGGCTACAGAGCAAGACTCTGTCTCAAAAACAAACCAAAAAAAAAAAAAAGTGTTTGAAGCCTACTGAATAAAGAAGTGATTGGGATGCAATAGGAAAAGATTATTGCTGGGCATGGTGGCTCACGCCTGTAATCCCAGCACTTTGGGAGGCCAAGGAGGGTAGATCACTTGAGGTCAGGAATTCGAGATCAGCCTGGCCTACATGGTGAAGCCCCGTCTCTAAAACTTAAAAAAAAAAAAAAGAAAAGATTATTTACACTGGACCCTTTTCCTTTCAGTTTCAAGGCTTTAGCGTTGTTTTTCGTTTGTTTTGTTTTGCTTTGCGACAGAGTCGCCCAGGCTGGGGTGCAGTGGCGAGATCTCGGCTCACTGCAACTTCCGCTGCCCGGTTTCAAGCTTTTCCTGCTTCAGCCTCCTGAGCATCTGGGATTACAGGTGCCCACCACCACGCCTGACTAATTTTGTACTTTTAGTAGAGATGGCGATTTGCCATGTTGGCGAGGCTGGTCTTAAACTCCTGACCTCCGGTGATCTGCCCGCCTCCGCCTACCAACGTTTTGGGATTACAGGCATGAGCCACTGCACCCTGCCAGGAAGAGTTTTAAATGAGCAGTTTCGGACATGGGGGGGTTTCAGTTGTAGGAAGTATCTATGCTTGACATGGAGGGGTAAAGAAGGGAATTTGTGGACAATGTAATGGACCATTAGGAGACTGGTACCAGTTCTCCCATTGATGTTCTTGGATGAAAACACAGAGACCTATCAAGTCTCAAACATGTCATAAGTAAAGTAAAATAGATTATCTCAGGGGCCCTTCCAATTTTGGAATTCACTGATAAACTGAATTTAACATTCATCTAAGCAAAACCTGCTGCCCTTCATTCACTTCCAGTTGTGCCACCAACATACAGAAAGTTGTTTACATTACTGAGAAAGGCTAAGTGACACAATACCAACGAAAAGATGGGGTTCATTTAGTAAAGTCAGGTAATACCTCTGAATTCACTAAGCTCACATGAATTTAGGTAATATCTCCAAATCTACTAAGGTCACATGAATGGGGAAATACTGCAATGTACTAAAAACAAACAAGGAAGTCAGGGTGCTTTGTCCGTCCCATGTGTTGTGGAAATCTCATTCTCCCTCTAGAATAATTCATGGATCTATGTAACATGAAATGTTTCAGTATTCATAATACCCAATAATTATACTGCTTAACTTTTTTTTTTTTTTTTTTTTGATACAGAGTTTCGCTCTTCTTACCCAGGCTGGAGTGCAATGGCGCGATCTCGGCTCACCGCAACCTCCACCTCCTGGGTTCAGGCAATTCTCCTGCCTCAGCCTCCTGAGTAGCTGGGATTACAGGCACGTGCCACCATGCCCAGCTAATTTTTTGTATTTTTAGTAGAGACAGGGTTTCACCTTGTTGACCAGGATGGTCTCGATCTCTCAACCTCGTGATCCACCCACCTCGGCCTCCCAAAGTGCTGGGATTACAGGCTTGAGCCACCGCGCCCGGCTCGACTTTTTTTTTTTTTTTTTTGAGACGGAGTTTCGCTCTTGTTACCCAGGCTGGAGTGCAATGGCACAATCTCGGCTCACCGCAACCTCCGCCTCCTGGGTTCAGGCAATTCTCCTGCCTCAGCTTCCTGAGTAGCTGGGATTACAGGCACGCGCCACCATGCCCAGCTAATTTTTTATTTGTATTTTTAGTAGAGATGGGGTTTCACCATGTTGACCAGGATGGTCTCGATCTCTCGACCTTGTGATCCACCCGCCTCGACCTCCCAAAGTGCTGGGATTACAGGCTTGAGCCACCGCGCCCGGCTCGACTTTTTTTTTTTTAAGACGGGTTTCATCATGTTGGTCAGGCTGGTCTTGAACTCCCGACCTCAGGTGATCTGCCCGCCTTGGCCTCCAAAGTGCTTGGGTTACAGGTGTGAGCCACTGGCCTTAACTTATTTTTAAGAAATAAATACAAGTTCTAATTTTTTTTCCCTATGCCCCAGTGGATCATCTTCTATATCCTACTTTGGTGATTTTTTTTTTTTTTTTTTTTTTTTGAGACGGAGTTTGACGCTTGTTGTCTAGGCTGGAGTGCAATGGCACAATCTCAACTTACCCCAACCCACACCTCCCAGGTTCAAGCGATTCTCCTGCCTCAGCCTCCCAAGTAGCTGGGATTACAGGCATTTGCCACCACGCCCAGCTAATTTTTTGTATTTTTAGTAGAGACAGGGTTTCTCCATGTTGGCCAGGCTGGTCTCGAACTCCCAACCTCAGGTGATCCACCCGCCCCAGCCTCCCAGTGTGCTGGGATTACAGGCGTGAGCCACTGCACCCAGCCCTTGGTGATCATTTTTAAGAGGGACCAGATCAGTTTTTAGAGTGGGCAGCAACATATTTAGGACATTGGTTTCAGACTTGGATTTGAGCGCTGGTTCTATACTTACTGTGGGTTGTTAGGCACATTTAATCTTTCTGAGCTTCTATTTTTTCACCTGTAATATAAGAGTAGTAATCATGTGAACCTCGTAAGGTTTCCCTGGGTATTAAATTAGTGGTGTATATAATACATCAAATCTCCCCGACACACAGGCAACATGAATGACAGTTACCGTGTCATGCCACTAGATTTAGTGAATTGTTTTGTATGCATTGTTAGCAGCCCAGCAATACCATGTTGCTTTTTAATACTGTTGTTACATTTTTCTACCCTGCAGGATAGTAAAACCTGATCTTATAAAACCTAGGTCACAAAGCACAGCCCTGCAAAACATCCTATTTCCATCAAGTGAGCCAGTTCCTGGAACCTGAATAATGACTCCTGAATCAAGGGATACTATACATTGGTCTCCACGGGGTACCCAGGAGATGAAAGGCATTCTGATAGTGAAGGTGGAGGAAGAAGAGGAAGAAAACCATTTTCAAAAGGAAAAAAACAAAGTAGAGTCATCACCACAAGTTCTCAGTGGCTCTACAACTATGAATGAGAGAGCCTTATTATCATCATATTTGGTTGCATATAGAGTGGCAAAAGAGAAAATGGCTCACACTGCAGCTGAAAAAATTATCCTTCCAGCATGTATGGATATGGTACGTACAATTTTTGATGATAAATCAGCTGATAAACTAAGAACTATACCTCTTAGTGATAATACAATCTCTCGTCGAATCTGTACGATTGCAAAACATTTGGAAGCAATGCTTATTACACGGCTGCAGTCTGGTGTAGACTTTGCCATCCAACTTGATGAGAGCACTGATATTGCAAGTGGTCCAACACTCTTGGTTTATGTCAGATATGTGTGGCAAGATGATTTTGTAGAGGACCTCTTATGTTGTTTAAACTTAAATTCACACATAACTGGATTGGATTTATTTACTGAATTAGAAAACTGCATTGTTGGTCAGTATAAATTAAACTGGAAACACTGTAAAGGAATTTCAAGTGATGGAGCAGCAAATATGACTGGAAAACATAGCAGACTTATTGAAAAATTGTTAGAAGCAACCCACAACAGTGCTCTTTGGAATCACTGTTTTATTCATCGAGAAGCTTTGGTATCCAAAGAAATTTCACCAAGTCTAATGGACGTATTGAGAAATGCAGTGAAAATTGTTAATTTTGTTAAAGGAAGTTCACTGAATAGCCGACTTCTTGAAGTATTTTGTTCAGAGATTGGAATTAACCATACCCACTTATTGTTTCATACCGAAGTTCGTTGGCTTTCTCAGGGAAAAGTATTGAGCCGAGTATATGAACTCAGGAAAGAGATTTACATTTTTCTCATTGAAAAGCAATCTCATTTGGCAAGTATTTTTGAAGATGATATCTGGGTAACAAAACTGGCATATTTAAGTGATATTTTTAGCATTCTTAATGAATTAAACCTGAAAATACAGGGGAAAAACAATGATATATTTCAGTATCTTGAACATATTCTAGGATTCCAAAAAACATTATTGCTGTGGCAAGCAAGACTTAAAAGTAATCGCCCCAGCTACTATATGTTCCCAACATTATTGCAACACATTGAAGAGAACATTATTAATGAAGACTGCTTAAAAGAAATAAAGTTAGAGATATTGTTGCATCTCACTTCTTTGTCTCAAACTTTTAATTATTACTTTCCAGAAGAGAAATTTCAATCATTAAAGGAAAATATTTGGATGAAAGATCCATTTGCTTTTCAAAACCCAGAATCAATAATTGAGTTAAACTTGGAGCCTGAAGAAGAGAATGAATTATTGCAGCTCAGTTCATCATTCACACTAAAGAATTATTATAAGACATTAAGTTTATCAGCATTTTGGATTAAGATTAAAGATGAATTTCCACTGCTAAGTAGGAAGAGTATATTGCTGTTACTACCATTCACAAATACTTGTTTGTGTGAATTAAGATTTTCAATCTTGACACGATTAAAAACGAAGAAAAGAAATAGGCTCAATAGTGCACCAGACATGCGGGTAGCATTATCTTCATGTGTTCCTGACTGGAAGGAACTTATGAACAGACAAGCACACCCATCACATTAAATAAAATCTTTACAAAATTTTGTGTTTAGCAGAGCATGGTGTCTCACACCTGTAATCCCAGCACTTTGGGAGGCCGAGGTGGGCAGATCACTTAATATCAGGAGATCGAGACCAGCCTGGCCAACATGGTGAAACTGCATCTCTACTAAAAATACAAAACTTAGCCAGGCGTGGTGGTGCATGCCTGCAGTCACAGTTACTAGGGTGGCTGAGGCACGAGAATCTCTTACACCAGGAAGGCAGAGATTGCAGTGAGCTGAGATGATGCTACTGCATTCCAGCCTGGGCAACAGTGAGATTCCATCTCAAAAAAAAAGAAAATTGTGTCTGTACTTTTTAAGGGATTTTGCAGTATGTTGTATTAAAATGTTAATAAAATTACATTTGCAATTAACTAGGTTTTTATTTTACTACATAGTATATTTCATGAAACTGGTTTGTTACATGAATGTGTGTATGTGTACAAGATGATATAAAATATATGTCCTTCTGTAAATTACTGTCAAGAATTTTGAAAAGAGGACAGCACAGTGGCTGACACCTGTAATCCCAGCATTGGGAGGCCAAGGTGGATGGATTGCTTGTGGCCAGGACTTTGAGACAAGCCTGGGCAACACATTGAAATCCCCTCTCTACAAAAAATACAAAACCTTAGCCAGGCTTGGTGGCGTGCACTTGTATTCCCAGCTACTCAGGAGGATGAGGTGGGAGGATCATTTGAGCCCAGCAAGTCGAGGCTACGATCATGCCACTGCAGTCTAGGAGGATCATTTGAGCCCAGCAAGTCAAGCTATGATCATGCCACTGCAGTCTAGCCTGAGCGACAGAGAGAGACCCTGTCTCAAAAATAATTTTTTAAATAGTTCTCTTAACACTTATTTTTATGCTCTAATCTGTTTCCCTGTCCACCACCATCACCTTGCTTTCTCTTTTCCATCAGAGCCTTATTGACATTCATTTACTCACTGTCTCTGTGCTTTTCCTTTTTTGTTCTAATTCCAGGAAGTAAGTCTTCTTTTGTTTTTACTTTTTTTTTCTTTTTCAATCTACATAGTATTCCTTCTGTTGTTTTTTTTTTAAGATGGAGTTTCACTCTCTTTGCCCAGGCTGGAGTGAAATGGTGTGACCATGGCTTACTGCAACATCCACCTCCTGGATTCAAGGGATTCTCCTGCCTCAGCCTCCCAAGTAGCTGGAATTATAGATGCCCTGCCACCACACCCCGCTAAATTTTTGTATTTTTAGTAGAGATGGGGTTTCACTATTTTGGTCAAGCTGGTCTCAAACTCCTGACCTCAGCCTCCCAAAGTGCTGAGATTACAGGTGTGAACCACCATGCCCAGCCAGAAGTGAGTCTTTTTTTTTTTTTTTTTTTTTTTTTTTGAGATGGAGTTTCGCTCTTGTTACCCAGGCTGGAGTGCAATGGCACGATTTTGGCTCACCGCAACCTCCGCCTCCTGGGCTCAGGCAATTCTCCTGCCTCAGCCTCCTGAGTAGCTGGGATTACAGGCACGTGCCACCATGCCCAGCTAATTTTTTGTATTTTTAGTAGAGACAAGGTTTCACTATGTTGACCAGGATGGTCTCGATCTCTTGACCTCGTGATCCACCCGCCTCGGCCTCCCAAAGTGCTGGGATTACAGGCTTGAGCCACTGCGCCCAGCCAGAAGTGAGTCTTAATACCAGTCTCAGTTTAACACTATGCTGGGTTTTTTTTAGATATTGGCATGTGTTATGATTCAGCTAATGAGACATTGAGGCCTTCTATTGGAATATTTCTGTGACTTCCCCTGTTTTCAAAAAGGACACAAGTGGCCCAGCACAGTGGCACATAGCTGTTAACCCAGCACATTGGGAGGCCGAGGTAGGTGAATCACTTGAGGTCAGGAGTTCAAGACCAGCCGGGCCAACATGGTCAAACCCCATCTCTACTAAAAAAAGTACAAAAATTAGCCAGGTGTGGTGGTGGGTGCCTGTTGTCTCAGCTACTTGGGAGGCTAAGGCAGAAGAATCACTTGAACCCACAGGTGAAGGCTGCAGTAAGCCAAGATTGTGCCACTGCACTCCAGCCTGGGCAACAGAATGAGACTCCCATCTTAAAAAAAAAAAAAAAAAGGCCAGGCTTGGTATCTCATGCGTGTAATCCCAGCACTTTGGGAGGCCGAGGCAGGCAGATCATGAGGTCAAGAGATCAAGACCAACCTGGCCAACACGGTGAAACCCTGTCTCTATAAAAATACAAAAATTAGGTCAGGTGCAGTGGCTCACGCCTGTAATCCAAGCACTTTGGAGGCTAAGGTGGGCGGATCACCTGAGGTCAGGAGTTCAAGACCAGCCTGCCCATCATGGTGAAACCCCATCTTTAAAAAAAAAAAAAAAAACAAAAATTAGCCAGGTATAGTGGTGGGTGCCTGTAGTCCCAGCTACTCGGGAGGCTGAAGCAGGAGAATCACTTGAACCTGGGAGGCAGAGGTTGCAGTGAACCGAGATCACACCACTGTACTCTAGCCTGGCAACAGAGCAAGACTCCATCTCAAAAAAAAAAAAAAGGACACAAGAAGGAAGACAGCAATGATGGTGTTTTTTTTTTTTTTTTTTTTTTTTTTTTGAGACGGAGTTTCGCTCTTGTTACCCAGGCTGGAGTGCAATGGCGCGATCTCGGCTCACCGCAACCTCCGCCTCCTGGGTTCAAGCAATTCTCCTGCCTCAGCCTCCTGAGTAGCTGGGATTACAGGCACGTGCCACCATGCACAGCTAATTTTTTTGTATCTTTAGTAGAGACGGGGTTTCACCATGTTGACCAGGATGGTCTCGATCTCTTGACCTCGTGATCCACCCGCCTCAGCCTCCCAAAGTGCTGGGATTACAGGCTTGAGCCACCGCGCCCGGCTTGTTTTTTTTTTTTGAGACAGGTCTTATTCCATCACCCAGCTGGAATGCACTGTGCAATCATGGCTCACTACAGCCTCTTCTTCCAGGCTCAAGCAATCTTCCTATCTCATCATTTTCATTTACCCCTATTTTCACAGGGGTCTCACTGTGTTGCCCAGGCTGGCCTTCAACTCCTGGCCTCAGGTGATCCTCCTGCCTCAGCCTCCCAAAGTGTTGGAATTACAGCCATTAGCCACTGAACCTGGCTTGAAATCCAATTTTTAATGTTGCCTCAAAGATACCTAAAACATGGTGATGGACAAACAGCATGTCTGTTGGACACATCAGACAGTGGCCATCACTTTGCTAGTTTAGCTATCACTGGGGTACAAGGTGAAGCCTGTAGTTTTCTAAACTTCAAACTTAAAAGTGCTTCTATCCACTTTCAGGGGTTGGTGCTTCTGTACCAGAAAGAGCCAGGCGTAGCTGCTCATTGACCCTTTCTCCTTTTCCTTGGCCCTCTGCAGCCCCACACTGCAGTCCCCACACTGACCAGCTAAGGGTGGGTTGGGCCTGCCTGAGGCCCAAGCCTTTCCTCTGCCCAGAGCTGGGGACCCCCTGTCACAGGCACTCCAGCTCACAGACTCCTGGTATTAGGTTGCTCCTTCGTAGACTGTGGACAGAATCTGGGCTGCAGAACAGAACCCACACCCGGGTGCAAACCACTACTCAGGGCTGCTTCCTGGATTGGGGAAGAAAGGCCTTGGGAGTGGGCACACCAACAGTGCAGGGCGCTTCTCCTCCAAGTCCTTGGTCCCAACCAGCCCAGTATGGCAAGTGGCAGGACAGACCCAGCCTACCCTTCACTGGACACTATTGGGAGCTCGTGCCCCTGGCTTGGCCACAGTCATGATCTGAGAAAATCCAGAGCCAGAACTGTAGTTTTGCAAAAGACTCCAGTGTCCCATACCCACTCTGTGTGGCTAGGCCTGCAGGCGAGCATTGAGCACATGCAGTTGGCACAGTGAACATGTGTGTCACCTGCTCCGGGTGCCCCACGTGCCTATACTGCCCAATGGCCTTGCCAAGGCAAGCATAGAGTCTGCAGCATGGGGCATAAGCAAAAGGGGTGGTGAGGTGCCTGGACCCCAACCTGGAGATGCTGAAATTGGGGTTTTTGACATGAGACAAGTGGAACTGGAGTTAGAAGGTGAGCATTAGTAAAAAGTCCCATGGATGGGAGTCAGGAGACCCAAGTTAGTCATAGGACTGTCACTCCCTAACTAAAGTGGCCCAAGATTTATGTAAGTGTGGGGAACCCTACCATGTGGACATTTGCAAAGCAAATGCCACGATACGGATGATTTTGATCCCAGACACAGAGATGCCTGAATAGGGGGAATTCAGATAAGTTGAGTCAGGAGCAGACAAAGGAGAATCTGGTTAAAAGATATTCTGATGAGTAAAACCAGAAAACCTTTTCACGTATGAGTTCTAAAACAAGATCAAACCAGAAACACCTGCACTCATGAGGTACAATGTCTAGATGTAAATAAGCTTTATGATCATAGGAAATTCTATTACTTTTTACAACCACTGATTGTGTATCTGACTTCTCTATTGTATAGGCCATGTAAGGTATAGATTTGCATTTCCTCTTGCAATGACGTAAGCCAAAGCCGAGGGAATGTATTTATTCCTGGCCTTTGAAAAAATAAACTTGCTGTTTCGGCACTGCCTATTCAGCCCTCCAGACCCCGCTTTCTATCTCTCTTTTCTTCTGCGCGCTCTCTCTTCTAGGTATTGGGACCCTCTTGCAGGTCGAGAGATCCCTGGCAGACGTGCCGTCCCAACTGCTCCCGACACGTAAGGCTATATATATATATATATATATATATATATATATATATATATATATATATTTTTTTTTGACGCAGGCTCCGGGGAGGGGGGTGTGGATAGACCCTTTCTGTGGTTCCCAGGTTGGCATGATGACAACTCACTGCGGTCTCAATCTCCTGGACTCAAGCAATCCTCCCACCACAGCCTCCTGGAACTATAGGCATGTGCCACCACAGCCCACTAATTTTGTTATTTTTTGTAGAAGTGGGGTCTGACTCTGTTGCCCAGGCTGGTCTTGAACCCCTAGGCTCAAGAGATCCTCCCACCTTGGAGGCGGAGGTTGCACTGAGCCAAGATCAAGCCACTGCACTCTAGCCTGGATAACAGATGGAGACTCCATCTCAAAAAAAAAAAAAAAAAAAAAAAAAAATGCTGAGTGTGGGCACCTGTAATCCCAGCTACTCAGGAGGCCAAGGTGGGAGAATTGCTTGAACCTAGATGGCAGAGGTTGCAGTGAGCTGAGATCATGCCACTACACTCCAGCCTGGCTGACAAAGACTCCATCTCAAAAAACCTTGCTAGGGGTTGTTTCAACAGAGTCACCCAAAGCTACCTTCCTTCTAGCTTTGCCTTTGAGGTCTGTAAATTACTTCATTCAAAGAAACTAGCACTTAATCTAAT